CGAATAGTTTCTGCCTGAAAATGTATTACTCATTAAAGATATATTATTATCAATTCAGCTCAATGATCGTTATTCTCCAAGAGTAAAACTTTCCGTCTTCTTAACTATTCGGTCAGATGATTTTCATCTGCAAGCGTCATACTCCTAATGATAATAGATTTAAAAATGCCAGCCTTATTTTTGTAACTATAGTTAGAAAGAAAATTAAGAACAAAACCAACATATGTTGGTTTCCTATAAACATAGCTGCCTAGCTTACCATTATGAATTTAATATTTATTTCACGCTGTTTAAGTGAAATTACGAAACTATCTAAATATCTTGCAGTAAACGTTCCTCAAACTTAGCCATGTAGTTATTCGCCAAAATAGGAGCCAAGCAAGAGTCCTTATGTCTGTCCATAAAACATACCGTCAATGGTGAAATATGTATTACTCATGGATAGGTTAAGGAGTCTTAGAATGGAGGATATACTTTACTTAATTCCCTCCGTAATCTCTGAATGCACCTCCATCGTGAGCATTAGAGCCTTGATGGCTTCTTGAACTGGAATATTTTTGTGCATTGATACCACGTCAAAACTTACTAATATATATTCTTCTGAAATATTCTGCCGGTCCACTAGTGTAACAGAATCATAAGAGTTTTTTACCGAAAATTTACAAAATTCAGTCACTTTTCTTAATCGTCTGCATAAAGCTCTTTTTATGTATAATGTATATCTCGTTATACAGACATTATGGCATTCCTAAGACGCTGTAGCCAAGATTAATCAAGTCCCTAATAGAATTTCTGCCAAATAACTTACGGTCAAAAAAGTGAATGAGACCTTGTACAATCGTCAATTCAAATTTCCACTAAAACTGGCTAAATCATTCATCTTGGCGAAAATTGAGACGCCACATTGGTCCAAATAGTTGCAAATCTCTTTTATTTTCTCCCGAACACCCATCCATAATAGGCTTCAACCCATTATCCATCTTGTCTGTTCAGCTCTTCCTTCTGCCTACGGCTACAGCCAGACATACGCATCCCTATCAAAAGGTTCAACTCGCAACGGCTGGTCCCAGATCAACCAAGGCGTACCACCTTCTGCCGGCTCGGTAGGCCGATCAGTTGACCAGCTTACCGAACCGCATTACGTTGAAATGATCCCGGAGGCTGGTGCGGGCTATATTGCCGTCACAGATTGGGCGGCACCAGTTCTACGTGTCTATGCTCTGGCAACGGGGCGCTGCATAGCTTCCACAGGAACCTATGGAGTGGGGTCTGGCCAGGTAAGCAAAGTGAGCTAATAGAGCAAGTTGCGAAATAAGAGTCCAATGAAGATATTCACAGCCTTACGCTTTATTGAATGTAGCTATGGGTGGCGAGCTTTAAGAGAGCAGAGACGGAAAAGCTTAAATAGACTCCTCATTCTTCGTACTGAACAAGTCAGGTGTGCCAACCAATTAGTAATTTAATAGATTCTCGGTACCACCATATATTCTCTAGTTTTTAGTAGGACATTTTTCAGGGTTTATGCACTTTTATGAGTTAAGCCTAAGGCCTACGCCAACAGGAAAAGATTACAGGTAAAGAGAAATATATCGTTGGTTTGGAACCTGGAAAGCTTTGATAATGCTGAAGTTTGTATATATGACTCCTTATTTTCTTATTAGAGTAGAGTTTCGAGATTACCAGCAAATCGGTAATATGAGATGTATTCACCCTATTTCGTCTAAGGTGATAAGGACTGGTAGTGAAATTTTCCCACAATAATATGAGTTGAGCTGACGTTTCTATTGAATTTCATATAGCCTTGCTTTCCCAAAAGTTGTTCTCATCCAGGCGGAAGTGGACTGCAGTTTCCACCTCGTATCGGTCTTATCAACTCTTGTCAAACTATCTTCCTCGCTTAAAATAGTCTAGTATTAATAACAATAAGTGTTTGTGGAATAATCTAATGACCAGAAT